GAGGGGCACAGCGCGCTCCCAGCGGGCTGGGAGAACGACCCCGAGCTGCTGTACATTCTGGGTGACAGGGTTCCGGGTGACACGCCGGCCACAGACTCTGCAGGGGCCCCGTCTTGAAGGGCACGCTCCTCCGCGGGGCGTGACGTCGTGCACGGCCGTCGCAACAGCGGTGGGTCTTGAGCGTCAAGGGCACGCGCCACGGGCGGCGGCGCTGCATAGTTGAGAGCAGGCAGCCGCTGCAATTTCAGCCCTTGGTAGCACGGGATATGGTCAGGCGTGGCAGTCAATGTGTGGCGCTCGTGCAGGCATGCAGGTGCATTCGCAGGCGACATGCCCTGCGGATTGGGGTGCAATGGGGAACTGCCGCGAGCCCAGTGCGGCTTTGGCTGCCGCTCGTGCAGCAAGCTGCAGACAGCTTTGTGTGGATGTGTGTAAAACAGGATCGGATCGGGCACGCACGCATTGCGGGGCGCGAGCACTCTTCGCCCCACAATAGGTTCGCGTCGACCGCGCGCGCCCTCGACCCTCTGTTGAGTTTGGATTGCAAACCCAGTGTGTGCCACCGGCTGTCACGCAGTCATCAGGTGCGGCGGCGTCCCTGGGACCACCCTCACACCACCCCTCACGAACCTCCAAGCCCCGTCCCGGCCAATTTTCCTGCGACCTGCGATTTCGCACTTGCACAACCTGCCATGATCAAGGGCGCGGAAGCCCAAACCTCGGCACTGTATCGTGCGACGCTGCGGCCCTGTTAGCCCGGCTGGGGATCTGCCTTGCAGTGGCCCCACGACGGGCGCCTGCTGCGGCCGCTGGGCCCTCTCACCGTCAATGTGTGCGCCACAGCGACACCACGCGGGGGTTGCGCGCCGGTCGCCGCCGCTGCGGAACGCGCTGCGCCAACCAGCCCACCTGAGGGCGGCTGGCCAGGGCGGGCTGCGTATTTTATGCTGTAATGCTGTAGCCTGTGTCAGCATCCCCTGTTCAATCATCAATCACATTATTGTAATCCCTGGAGTTTTTGGACTATCAACTTGCTTCCATATGAGCGCACGCTGTTTCATCCTCCCGACGTTTGCGGACACAAAAAGTCTACCAGATAAAGCTTCGACTCTGCATGACCAAACAAAACTCAACGGGTGTGCAGTACTACGGCCTGAATACGCAGGCGTACTGCCGCTGTTTCTCCCCTAGCGTCAAGCACTCCCAAAGGGGATCAGAGCAGAGCGGAACGCATTCCTCCTCAGCTTCCCAGCACGCGCGCACAAGCGTCGCGCCAGACAGCAAGACCAGGTGTGATGCAAACAGTCAGGTGCTATTGTATGCAGTTTTAGCGGTGTTAGGCAGGATGCGGGGCAAGGTACAGGCACTTTGGTGCAGCAAAAATGGCTGGCGCTGCAAGTGAGCTGTTTTCACCTGAGACGGCCCTGCAAGGGACCCGCGTCAGGGAGGGCAGCACCATATGCTGGTGGCAACGAGCTCCTTTCACCCAGCCAGAGCCACCGCTGACAGACTGTGTGCTGGCTGCTTGACACCTCTGCGTTATGGCATTCAATGCAACTGTCATTGTTGAGCCTCCCTTGGACCGTAGTGTCTCTGCAGTGAACGTGTGCAAGTGGGAGCTGTTAGATTTTGGCCCGCCCCTTCACTTATATAGGCCCACAAATTGGCACATGCTGGTTTTGTGTGTCCTCAGTCATCTGACAAAATTGACACATTTTGGGGAAACAGGTTGCTTTTATATTTCAAGGCCACAATGGTTGTGCTGATGCTGGTGTGGATCCATAATTGTGGCGCAAAGGGCCGCAAAGTTGCTGCACGACCAGCTGTGGCGTAGGGACAGAAATAGCAACATAATAATTAGGGTTGTAATATGGTGCTCACAGGCTATGATGTGCGACATGTGAGGCGTGGCGCTGTGATGATGAGGAGCACATCGGCAGCAGGCGCAGTATCGGAACAGCTCACTCCAGCTCTTGGATGCCACGCACGTGCTGCATTGTGTAAATGAATGCATTTTAATTCGTTTGAGAGGAAAAAAACATGCTCCATTCCTCATGGATTGTGAGATCGGGCACTGACATTGCGATCGGATGGGTGTGAGCTCATTTGCGTGATATTCATAAAATTAATCAATTGTTATTATAACTAATTGCCGCCTCTATCACATAACCGTATCCTCTATGATGACTCGTGCAAGGCCGTCAATTGAGGAGCTAGCGTGCTTGTTTGATGCAGCTGCCGTAAATTTGACGTGGATTACCCGCTTCTGTGGCGCGCGTCCAGTGCGGGTTGATGCGCCTGACAACAGCTGGTCCTGATGACATCAGCAGTACAGTACAGTACATCCTGGCTGGCTCAGGCCATGCTGCGACACCGTAGAGTACTTGCGCGCTGCACGCTAGGGAAAATGGCAATCAAGCAGGACACACAGGGATCCTCGATGGTGATGGCGATGCATACGCCAACGGAGCACCGTTTGGTCAGGGGCGCATTTGTTGGCGGTGCTGGCCCTCGCAGGGCCTGGTGGTTCTTCAGTGCTGTGCGCGCTGCAGCAACATGACCACTTGCGCCTCCTCGAATCCAGGTGGCTTTGCATGGAGATACACTTGACCTGCCATTGAGTCGCAGCTGGCTGTCGGCCCCAATATTCGACTCTCAAGCAGCCCGTGTAGTACGGCTGGCGCCCATTGAGGCCTTTCAGTGCGCAGCAGCACCTGCCTGTCACCAGGTCCCCAATCCTCATCAATCACATGCTTCAGCAAGATGGCAGCCGCAGCACTAGCTCAAGAACGCAGTGGCCAATCGCACGCAAGATGTAGCAATTGATTAAAGTCAGGGATGTTTTCATTCAAGTCCAAGAAAAGGACAGGTCAGCCCCACAGTCAGGCTGGGTGGGACGTTGGCCCAAGACGAGTGCGGCAATGCATGTAAGCTCCCCACCTTGATAGGCCCCATGCCCGCGAGCGCCTCCCCTGCTCGCCACCCGATCCTGCCACGTCACAGCATGCGACAACTTGGCGCCAGCCGCGCCCACCTGCCCCGCATAGAGCCCGCCCACGCCACAGGGAGGCGCTGCAACCCGGATGACATCGGCAGCGGCTCCAATCCTTGAGCTGGGCATGCGCCGCTCCCACCGACGCCACAGAACAGAGTGCGGCCGCCCGCCAGTGAGGCTAATGCTTTGGAGGCTCGCGTCGTTTTTCGTAGTCAGTGTGGCCGCAGTGCGCAGTACGTGATTGGGTGCGCCTGGTCAGGGGTTCCCGACTACGACCGCATAGGGTGAGATCTTCCAGTTTGTGACAAGGCCATTGATTACGTATGGATCGGCCTGCAAAAGTGTGAGGATGAAGAGAAGAGTGAGAGGGAGGGGGGCAGGGGTGGGGGACGGAGGAGGCGG